AAGAAATACAAACCCTTTGGATTATTATAGAAAACAACAATACTTTCCCCAATTTTTATCATCAAGATGTTAAAAAAAAAAAAAAATTGTAAATATATTTTAATTTCGTTTCTTATGCACCTTTTCATTTCACTGCACTGGATTTTAACATTATAAAAGCCAAAAAATTAAAGCCGAAATAGGGTAGATTATAGAAAAGCGATTGAATAATTGAAATAAACTGTCAGAAAAACACAAGAAATATTTTAAATTATGAAAAAGTTTAAAGGTAATATTTTTTGGTTGGTCTGTGTAACTGAATGCTGAGCTTAAACTGAAATAATTAATCCACTACTGAAATTGGAATTGGAATTCCGATAAACTAAAATGTTTATATATAAGCTTGACTGGATTTTATGTATATGTACAAAGGATAACAATAACATACACCATTATCTTTTTAATTTGTTTTTTGTTTCATTAATGATTTATATTATGGACTCGTTTTTCCATAATTGTTTACAGTAAGAACAAAGTAGTTAAGATTGATTTTAAGCAATTTGCGTTTTTATTAACAAAAATCGTATAAACAACTTAAACATTTGATAATAAGAGTCATTATGACAAAACTGATTGGATGGAATAATAAGTGAAATACTTCAATTTCATTTTTAGTTCATTCTTCTCGTAGTTCTATGCTAATAAAAAATGTTAATAGATTAGTTATCTTTAAAATTAGGAAATTTTGTTATTCGTAAAAAAAATCTATTTATATAGGTAATTCAATAATTTTACTTAATCTGAAAAATTAATGAAATTTAGTCATGATTTTAAAATTTATTTTTGATAATATTAAAGAGCCGTAGCTTTTTCCCCTAATTTTCAGAAATGAAAAAAAGAAAGCTTCGAACTTTTTCTCGTTTCTTTTATAAAAAATCAACTAATGTACATCATTTCTTTTTCAATTCCTTCTATTAGCTCACACTCTCCCTATATATATCTTGTTCAAATTTTCAATCGTTCATAAAATGCTTTTTATTCATTCACTCAAGTTCAAATACATAGTGGATGACACTGGATGTTAATACAGTTTTTCAAATATTAATTCAGTAATTTAATTAATAATTTTTAATACTTTAAATAGAGTTTTAGCAGTTTGCAATGAAAATTAAAAATTTTTCTTTGTTGACATAAGTAGGAATTGACTTTAAATTTTTTTTTTTTTTTATATTACTTGTTTTTTCAGTCACTGGTAAAAAAGGAAAAGAAAACATTTTTTTATAACAAGTGTCATTATTCGCAAAGATTGCCTGCAGAAGAATCGATTACTTGAAACATTCCATACATTATAGTATATCAGGCGTTATTATTGAAGAAAGTTGTATGTGTTACTTCGAAATTCTAAATTTATTCTTGAAATCTTTTCCATCGAATTCCAATCGATAATTGAATCTTCAATTTCAATACAAATATTTCGGAAAAAGATGGTAAAATTGGGGTTTGAGAAATTTTTCCTTAACTTCTTTTTCTTGCAATTTTTTAAATACTTTTTCGGAGTTTTTCAATTTTGTTATGTTGTATAATTTGGAAAATTAAACGAATTAGAATTATTATTAAATTAAATTTTCCTAAGCTTTATTTGAATAAAGACGTTTTTTATCTGTTTGTGTGTTGGTAAATGTAGGAATAAACGTACATCATTGATTTATATGTTTATTCAAAGTTTAATTTTCTAAATGATTAATCTTGAAATAAAAAAAAATGGTGATACGATAAAAAATGTTTCATTTGCAGTAACACATAATTCCGAACATTTGCTTCAAACCGTTATAAATTAAAAAAAAAAAAAATTAAATAACTACTGTAGTTTTCTAAAACAGCTCATTACAATGCTAAAATTATTTAATAAAATTTTAATTAAACTTAATTAATAAAATCAATTAATTAATAAACATAACTTAATTAATAAAATTAATAAAAGTAATTAATTGATTGATAATTAATGAATAAAACTAATTATTTGATAAAATAAACTTAATTAACAAAATTACTTAAATAATCTAATAATCTTTCTAATTATAATTTCTTTCAAAATATATTGCAAATTGTTGCTTTTTTCTTTTTACATATTTTGTATATTCAGACAAAATACACATTATGAATTCTTTTGAACCTTTAAAAATAATGGTATTTTTAAATTATTACCAACAATATAATTTATTTATAATTTTAAATCCCTACTATAAATATATTATTTAAAAACAATAACAATTTTAAAGTATATTTATAGTAAATTATATCCCATGTTTATATCTCTTTGACTCATTATAAAATTTTTCATTCATTTTCCTAAACATTCTGCTTGAGAAATCCTTATAAACAAAAAAAAAAAAACAGGATTATATCTAATTTTATAGATAGTTCTATAATGTATGCAAAATTTGCAAAAATACAGTTCAATTATCTTTAGTTAAATCTAAAATAAAGTAGACGTAGAGAATAGATGACATTAAAGGAGCTTGCAATTAAAAGATCCCAAAACATTTGTTAAAAAAAAACTATTCATTATTTATAATTACTAATTGTTAGTTGTTTTTTTAAAAGCTCTGTTTTGTATAATTAGAGTTTTATTTTAAATGTTTATTTTTAATTATGAACTAATATTGTGCCGATATGATATGTACTTTATGATGTCCACAAAAAAAATGCATGGGAAGAAAGAAGTCATTACTTTTTTCTTATCCCACTTGATAAACAACAATATGTTGATCAATTGCAAGAACCCATGTAGTCTTATGGCAGGAGGGTAAGATGTGTGTGTGGGGGCAGCTTCTGTTGTGATGGAACGCCCGTAGGTAGATTGGTTTGATTTGTCTCTACGGTCCTTTTGTGCACACGGGGGCTAATTAGACCGGGACCTACAATTTAACGTGGATTCCGTACCACTCATAAACATCCGTACTACCCCCAGGATTCGAACTTGCAGCCTGTGGTACAAAGGTCAGAGCGCTAGCTAAAATTTGGAATCAGGCCACCCCTGTAGGTAGAAGTCTGACTTGGCTTTGTACCGTTGACTTTTTTACGGTGTAGAGTTGTAGCAATTGCGCCCGGCAGTCACATTAAACCGAGACCTACTGTTTAAACATTATTACGAATCACTACAAACATTCTTGGCACCGCCGGGACTCGAATTCGAAGCCTGTGGTACTGAGCACCAAACACTCGGCCATCAGACCCCAGAAGTCATTATTTAACACAGATTAATCTCCTCGCGCAACACGAGAAACTTACATTTCAAAATCTTTTATTTAACGTGAACACTGATTTCCCAAGTCTGAAAATTCACGTGAAATATGTGTTGTTCAGACTGACGATTTGCCAACGTTCTGTATTTCATTTTGAATTGTTTGATTTTCAGAATCCGAGCATGTTTTTTATCACAATTTACACAAAATAGTGTCCAAGGATCAGTTTTGTTAATGAAAACTAATTGAGATATCACTTATAATTATATATTGAGGCTCCATTGAGGAAATAAATGTTAAAATATGTTCATGTTGTTGTCGTATTCCTCATGGAAGGAGGGAAAGGGGGCAACTTCTGTTGTGATGGAGTACCCGCAGGTAGAAGTCTGACTTCTACTCCGAATCGCTGAAGAAGGAGGACAGTGCCTTCCGGGAGAACTACCTCGCATTTGCGTATCGAATGGGATAAAAGCCAGAAAACTCCCACCAAGCAGTCCGACTCACGAAGCAAGAGGCTGACCATCGCAAACGCCCTCGAGTCTCCTCTTTTTTCGAAACAGTGTCTCCAACAAAGCCCCCAGCGGACTAATCCTCAGCCCTAATGCCTACCAGCGGCGCACGTTGCCACTGAGCCACGAGTCGGGCAAATATGTCCATGCATGATAAAATTGAAATTCTTAAATGTTTCTTTTCATACTTCTGCATATTATTTGCTATTAATGGTGAATAATTCAAATACATATATCTGGTAATAAAAATTTTAGTACTTCTTTAAAATTTTAAGTTTTATTAAGTGCTTCTAGTACAAAAAAAAAAATCAGAAAACATTGGTTTTATTCAACCAATGTTTTTATGTTATTGAATACGTATTTTATGAACAAATATAGCGGTTAAAATTTATATTTGATGGAAGTTTTTAATTGTTTTGAGTTTGCAATATCCGAGTATTAGCGAACCTTCTCCATTTCCACAATAACTGAATTAATAAAAAAATTATAGTTAAAAAAAAAAAACTGAAAAACACGTTTTTAGAGTTAATCAAACTTTTTTTTTCCTTTCTAATGCGGCTGGCAAACACTTAGACAGCTTGGTCTTGGATGCCTTAAGGCAAGCGCTGCATAGACGTTACTCACTTTGCATTACCCAGGGGGCGCGTGTAACTTGAAGATAAGCCCCGGACGCTGAGTAACAATGCCCCGCAACGCTCTACGATCCTATTAGACCGGGACCTACGGCTTAAAGTGGATTCCGAACCACTATAAACATCCATGGCACCGCCGGGACTCGCCGTGCCGAGCGCTAGAGCGCTAGCCACTCGGCCATTCAGACCCGAGTTAATCAAACTAAAAAGTAAAAAATAGTTGTTGACATAAGAATAAAATTACTGACGAGAAAAATGAATGTCACTGTTCTAAAAGCGTGGGGTGCTCGATATCAATCGTTATAATTTTTCACTAGTTTTATTCCGAAATGCAGAGTTAGTTTAAAAATGTCATACAAAGCACCCCACGCTTTTAGAACAGTGACATTCATTTTATTCTTATGTTAACAATTATTTTTTACTTTTAGTTTGATTAACTCTAAAAGCGTGTTTTTTAGTGTTTTTAAACTATAATTTATTTTTTACTTTTTGGTTTGATTAACTCTAAAAGCGTGTTTTTTTTTTGTGTTTTTAAACTATAATATTTAAATAAGGTCCCGGTAAGGATGACTGGAACTACTGTTCTTACAATAATTTAATTGTGAGTAAAACAAAGGCTAAATGCGAAAATGACGAGCCAGCCGAGATTCGAACGCGGAATCTCCTGATCCGTAGTCAGGCGCGTTATCCGTTGTGCCACGTAGGTTTGAATGTCTTAGATACTTTCATTCTACATGGGTTAAATTGCTCTTCATAAGTTCAAATAAAATCACTCATCCTGACGATCCTAATCATGATGAGATAATAAACTTATCAAAATATTTTAGTGTCGTCGGTCCTTGATAAGTCTACAACGTTTAAATTAAATCTGATCTCTTGAAATAGGGCGAAATCGAGCCCAAAGAGTCAGCCACAAACAAACAAACGTACAGGTGAAACTAATAAAAGCGTATTAATTATTAAAAAATTTACATTGCTCAGTTCAACGGGAAATACCACATTTTAATGGTATAAAACACGAATCTGTCACCAAGCAATCCGACAGTCAAAGAGCGACAATCCTACATATTAGTTCACGTCCACTATCGGTGCTAGTAGAATTAATCCGTTCATTTGTTTTCAACATTGTATTTGCATTTGATACATCAAATTAGTTACCATAGCAACGAATTCAATTTCATTTTGCTTTTTTACACAAAAAACAATTGCCCTTTTAAAAACATAATCGAGGAAACAAATAGTGGTGATAAGGTTTAGAACACTTTTGAATTAGTTGATGGTAGTATGATGTGTTCGAATAGGCATTTATAAAAAAATAATAATAACCCCAGAAATGTTCCATTACATGGTTTAGAATGCAGTATTCCATAAAGTGATCAAGAGGACATGTCATTTCGCAGGAATCGATAGCCTTTCCAAATGCAGTGCAGGCCGCGCCCACGCCTGCAAACAATGACATCACCTGATATCTCCATCGTCATCCTCCTCCCCGAAAGGTCAACCCTTTCGAACTCGCTTTGTGCACCCCATCCGCTTCCGGTTTCCGACTTCGAAACGACCCCGGCGTGCATGGACAAAAAAAAGCTATCAATAGGAGCACCACTTTCCGCAACAGGACCAAAGCGTTTTGTTATTCATCACTTTTTAGTTGAACTTTCCCAATTCATTTTTAATGGGTGTTTTTTTTACTTTGTTCTTTTGGTATAATTTTAGTGACAGAAAAGCATATTGATTGTTGATATTGACCAGTGAATTACAAAAACTTTTATTTCTATCTGAAATTGAAATGGATTTTGGAAAATAGGACTTTAAATGTCGCCCAACTTCAAGAAATAACAAAATATGTATTTAAATAAATTTGCCGGAGAAAACAACAGTTGAGATAAAAATAAAAAATAAAAAAAAAAAAATTAACTAATAAGACCCAAAGTTACCCAGTTTCAATGAAAATGTGTATTTTTTTTTGCTTTGGTAAATTTAATTGAAAAAATCCGCAAAAAAAATTTCTCAATAAATAAATTTTATTCAAAAAGCACTTCACATGAGCAAAGATAAATAAAAATAAAATACGATTGCACATACAAATTTTTTTTAAATTTTTATTTCTAGAACGTCATTAAAATAATTTATTTTTAATCTCCTCCAATCAAATATTTACAAACAATTAAATATATAATCTATATAAGTGAAAACACACGATTTTTTTTACGACAGTTTTAGAATATTTAATTTTTTTCTACGCTTATTTAAAATTATATTTCTATTTAATATAAAAGAACTTATTAGAATTTTTTTGCAATTTCCGGTAATGAACAAAAAATAACTAAACTAAACTAACTAAATTAATTAACTTAACTAAATTAATAAACTAACAGTAAATTACTTAACTAACTAAACTAAATTAATTATTTACTAAAATAAATTATTTTTAAACTCGTCTAATCAAATGTTTACTTAATTTAGCAGCTCGTTGTGTCAAATGGAATACTTTTTTTTTAAGACAGTTTTAAAAGAATATTTAATTTTTTTATTTACACTATGAATATAATAACTAAACACCCTGTGCCACTTCTACAATACTATTGATATCTTAATTATGAACCAAAGCCGGTCCCTGAAAATAAACTGTTTTTATCTGACGCTCCTAGCGTTCAGCTCGTGGTCTCGAGATCTCACCGCAAACCTACTTCCCGCGCTGGACCACACTTACTAAATCACAGTTACCAGTTATAAAACCTCTCGCTAAATTATTATTTAAACCTTACAAATCAAATATTTACAATTAATTTAATATATCCATACAAATGAAAACAGACGATTTTTTTAAGACAGTTTTAGAATATTTAATTTTTTTGCTCCTATTTAAAAAATACAGTTTTTAAAAGAACTTACTAGAATTTTTTATTGCAATTTTCGTATAATGGACAAATACTAACTAAACTAAATTAAACTAACTAACTAAATTAATAAACTAAACTAAATTATTTAACTAACTAAACTAAATTAATTATTTACTAAAATAAAGTAAGTTTAAATTCCTCCAATCAAATATTTACAAATAATTTAATATATCCATACAAATGAAAACAGACGATTTTTTAAACTAAAACAGTTTCAGAATATTTAATTTTTACGTATATATTTAAAAATTACAGTTTCATTTAATATAAAAGAACTTATGCAATTTTATTATCCAAATTTTCGGTAATGAACAAAATAAAAATCAATAAATCCTAAAAGCAAAATGGATCTCAAAGTATTATAGTTTTCTTATTATTTATATAATGAATGATAATTCATTTCTGATTTAAATTATTTTAATTTCTCACAAGTTCTTTGCGAATATTAACAGCATGCTGATAAAAGCAGACAAGATATTTCGAAAATGGTAAAATCGCAGAATAGGCGCATTTGGGATATGGCGTCAAAAATAAATAAATATTTTTTTAAAAAAGTCTTTTCGCCAAAGTGCGCCAAATCACGGTTGCGATTGGAAGTGAAGTGAATTGCAAACAATATCAGAAAACTTGGTTACCGCAAAGTTTTTGTATTAATACAACTGATAAAAGCAAAAACAAGGAATTACTATCCGCATTTGGCAACTTATCTCCCAACTGGTGCCATAAAAAACTCGCCAATCCCAACTGCTCCTATTTTGCGATTTGGCCAAGAGTTTTTTTAGAGTTATCTTAAATGAAAAAGTATTTAAATGAAGCCCTTCAGTAGACCGAAATAGTGTGTTAAATTATCCCTTATCCCTTAATCCAATCCATGGCATTAATAATAAATTCGAAGTTACCTATTCCAACGTATCCTATAAAATCCCACATCATAATAGTTTCATCGACGTGTTTACCGAACCCTTGTAAACTGAATAATTTTCGATTTTCTTCAAACCATAATGCAACTTCTAGTAACGATTGCATTGAATTGGCTTTCATGAGCAAATATAACGTCATTAAAAACCTTTTAGTTAGATTTCTGGTAAATGAAATTAAATTCACGCCATTAATAAAGAATTTCTTTTTTGCCACTTGGCTGTTATATCTGGCTGAGTTGTTCTTTGAACTTGCATATAACCCATAAAATTCTTACATTCTGTTTTAAATTTTGTTGCCGATAATCTTACCTTTGCATTTATTTTTCGAATGATGATTCGCTTTATTCAACAAGACAGCTTTATTGGTCTCCCAAAACTTGATTTATTATTTATTCTATAAGATATTTTATAACTAAAAAAAAATTAAAAAACGGACCAAATGGCAAAATAGGAGCCGTGGAATTTGGTGACTTTTTTTGCGGCTCCAACTGGGCAATAAGTCGGTAAATGCTCTGTAACTTGGATTTCTTGTACTGTTTGCAATTCACTACACTTACAATCGCAACTCGTTACTTGGCGCACTTTGGCGAAAAGTTTTTTTTGCTGCCAAATCGAACGGCCCCAATTCAGCAATTTTACAAAAAAAAAAAAAAAAAAAAAAATTAATATAAGCCTGATTTTAAGACATAGATATATTACAATTGTATAAATAAATGCTGGATAAAAAAAAAAAAATGAATATTCTTAGAACTATTTTTGTTAATGTGAAATATTGTGACAGAAAATATATTTTTAAATTACTGTCAAAAAATTAGTGTGAAGCACATAAATTTGATCAATGGTTAAGTTAAGTGCTATGCGAACACTGTGTGATTTATTTATTCTTAAAAATGTTTAAAAATATAGTGAAAGGTTAATAGTTATTCTCTCATATAACGCTTCCTCTGACCTTTGGTACCACAGGCTTCAGGTTCGAATATTGGCGTGACATGGATGTAAAAAAAAAAAAAAAACTGTCCACCATAATACCCCACCCTTATGATGATAGTAATTCCTTGTTTTTGTGTTGTATTTAACAAAACTTTGTAAACTTGCAATTAAACAATGAATGCCAGATAATCCGTCACATTTTCCATGAATTAACTCGTTTTTCAAACAATGAAATTAAATTGCATTGTATAGCAGTATAAGCGAACAATGAATCCCATGCCATTTTTTTTTTTTTTTTTTTTTTGCTGGCTAATGTGAATGCCAATGCTAATATGCACTAGCAGATATTTACCTGGTGTTGCCCGTCTACATAAAACAAAACCTTTTTTTAGTTTTATTAGGGAAACATATCGTTTGGCAAATTGCAAAGCAAAAATTATTCTGAATAACTATTTATAAATAAAAAGAATTTTGAGACAAACAAAAATACACTAAAAGAACAACACAATCACATATACTTCAAAAATTTACCCTTTTAATTTCAGTTAAACTTCTAAAGATGGAATGATCAGAAATGAAAAAAAAAAATAAGAACTAAATCAATCGAAATAAAAGTTATGGACAAAATTTTCACCCCCCCCCAGATTGTGCCAAGTGTAAAACAATATTTTTGTTTAATTGATTGCGAAAAGTATTAGATTAGGATAAAGATATTAATAAATGGTGCTCCGCTGGCCATTAGCACTTTTTGTTGTAGACACTGTTTCAACAAAGCCGCGAGGAGACTTGATTGGTGTTTGGGATGCTCAGCATCTTACCACGTGAGTAGGACGAATCTTGCCTCTTGAGTCGGACTACCTGGTGGGAGTTTTCCGGGTTTTCTCTCCCATACGATAAGCAAAATCGGGGTGTTCCCTTTAAATTTTCTACCAGAAGGAACTGCCCTCCTT